GTGTGTGTGTGTGTGTGTGTGTGTGTGTGTGTGTGTGTGTGTAGTATGATCAAATCTTCCCTGACCATGGATTAGTGAAAAGAAGTCAGCCTGTACACCTAGTACTATTCAGTAATTCCTAGTAATAAAGCCCCAGTCCAGAATAATGATTCTGTTCTCTAAGGCAAAATCTTGCTAGCTTAAAACAAACAAACAAACAAACCCAAAAAACAAACAAACAAAAAAACCTGCCCAAGCTTGTAGTAGACACCGGCACTTGATATATTAGAATTTACCTCAGCACTCTGTGTTTGTAGAGCCTCTGTACTGATCAGGAAGACAGCTGCTGACTCTAGTCAGCATGTTGTAGCTCTGAGCAGACTTTGCCTGGCCCTAACCCTCATTCCTAGAGGTTCATAGAGTACTGAGGCGGATCTTCTTCACTGAAGAACATCTTAAAACCTTTATTGACCGGTGTAGACTAGGACAGTTAGTGACCCAGTTCAAGCCAGAGATAAGGGGAAAGACTGGTATCAAAATATCATTCTTGGTCACTCTGGCTTCATTAATTAGCAGATATATGAATTAGCAGTCAACCAGACAGTTGATTCATTGTTCTCTGAAGATCTGAATAAACTCTTTCAGGCACCAGTATGAGCCAGTCTTCACTGACTGAACCCGACTTCCAGAATTTGAAGCCCCCACAGTGAGACCTTGCCTTCTCATCTACCATCCACCTAAAAGCTCTATGGATGTACCTATCGGTGCTCTGCCCTTAGCAGGAGTTGGCAACCAAGGAAAACTGAGTTTACAGGAAATGTGGGACATGAAAAGAAAGGGCCAATTAAACAAAAATAAACAATAGTTTACTTAAAAGGCAAAAGGTTATTCTGTGAGTAAGAAAGATTATAAACTTCTATTTTATTTTTTATTTAGGGTCATGTAGCCCAGACTGGCCTTGAACCTGTAGTCTCCCTGCCTTAGCCTCCCAAGTGCTGACATTACAGATAGGTGTGGTCACACCCAATCTGAGATTATAAAAGCTCTTTCACTGTAAAGGTGTTTGGTTCCCAGTGGCCACTCTGTGTGGTTCACAAACTCCTGTAACATCAGCTCAGAGTATCTGTCCCCCTTTCCTGGCTTCCAAGAGCACCGGCACAAATGTGCATATACATGCACACATGTACGCACACATACATGTAAATAATAAAAATCTTAAAAAGCAACTTGCTAACTAATGCTGTGATGGTTCAAACAGAAGGCATGCTAGACTGGGATTTGGGGTAAATGGATGAACACCCAGAAGAGGAGGGCCTGGATAGCGGATGATTCTGTTAAAGCCTCGTGCTCCCGGATACAGTTTGGCCTCTGTGGAAAAGGACACATAGTCCAGACAGTGACCTTGGCTCTAAAGTGAAATCACGTAGCCATAACAACATGAACACTACTTATAGATTTTGGTCTCTGCCTCCAAGCCAGTTCATAGTAAAAACAAAGACGTCATCAGATTGACTAGATCGATGGGAAACGAATAATAGTTCTCTTGCTATCTAAATCTCCCAGTATCTTTTTTAAATTGGTGAGTTGGGAGAGATCACAGAACTCAATGAAACAAGAAATTGCTGCATGTTACTCAAAATTGCAGAGGTCAGCAATAGAATCCTAGCCTGAAGGCCCCAGTGCCAGTGGCCCCAGCTGCTTTTGGGAATAGGGAAGATGGTTCAGTGTCTAAAGGGCTTGCCACACAAGCAGGAGAAGGTAGGAATGGGAAGAATGACCTCGCTAAAGAGACTAGCCATATTGGCAAGCTTTGGATTTGATTAAGATACTCTGTCTCAGCTTCTGGAGACATGGCTCAGTGGTTAAGAGCACCGACTGCTCTTCAGAGGATCTGGACTCAATTCCCAGCACCAACACAGCAGCTCACAACCATCTGTAACTCCAGCTCCAAGGGACTTGACACCCGCACACAGACATGCATGCAGACAAAATACCAATGCACATAAAACAAAACTAAATCATTTTTTTAAAATGATGTTCTACCTCAATGAATAAGGTGGGAGAAAAACCAAGGATGACTCCAGATGTCAACCCTGTGCCTCCACATGCAGGCACTCGTATACACCCCCGTACTTGAGTGTGCCTACACACACACTCACATGAGAACTGGCGTTGACAAAGGAAAAGAAAATTCCTGGGCCCACCTAGACACATGAAATCAGAAACTAACAAGTGGCATGGGTTTTAATAAATTGACCACTGATCCTGACACAGCCAGTTTGGGACCTACAGGTCATAAGTAGATACACGAGGTAGACATGTGAAGCTTAGCAGTTTGCCTGTGAAATAGGAAGGAGGTGGGAGAAAGCTATGGTTTAATCAATCCCTAGCTGGTGTCAGGAATTCAGTGGGATAGTGCATTCATCTGGTAAGCTGAGTTGTCACATCAATATGCTTTCTAGAGACACAGAAATAATCACCAAGATAAAGACAAGCAGACGTAGATAACAGTGCTTTTCTCTTCAGAGAGACCCAGTGAGGGATGTGTGGGTGGAGAGAGTAGTCTTACTTTTTTTTTTTCAACCGTGTCATTCTCTGGTTGAAATTAAAATAAAAGAAAAATATTGTTCTTAGTTTGGAAGGATTGCCCAGGAGCCTGAGACTTTCTAGGGAAGCCGTTCTTGCTTATTCTTCTTTGCCTGATTATGAAAAACAACAAAATTGAGTCGGCTTAGCCATCTCCACCATCCCTCCATGTGGCTTCCAGATGTTGGCTCTGTCAAAGGGAAGAATAATGGGCAGCTAGCAAGAGCCACTCCAGGAAGCAGAGCTCAGGAACCGTCTCTGTCACCACGAGCTCAAATAGAACACGATAGTACATGGATCCCCTCTCCTTTCCCCCCATCAGTCCTCTGTCCCCCCAGGCTCAGCTACATACCCTCTCACCTAGATGGTGCATCACACCTATGTCCCTGAATAACCCCTCCACAACTTTCCTCTCAGAGTCAACAGTACCCTAACCGGTGGTACCCTGACTCTCCAGCACTCTCCAGGGTCACCCACATGCTACAGTCCAGCCACCCTCAAACTTCCTGTGCTCATCTGGCCTTGGGCCCTGCTGGCCCCTCTTCTGTGAAGGTTTCCACCCTGCTCTTCTCAAGGCCAGGCTTTATGTTTGAGGCTTCACCCTAAATGTAACTACCTCAGAGAACCATCTCAGCCCCCACCCCCCAATTCAGCTTCCGATCTGCTCCTTCTGTGAGCTCTACCACAGTGGACTCCGTCCAATGACTTGATCATCTCCAGCACGAGAGAAAAGCTCAGGGAGTGCAGAGATCTGTCTTCTCTCATTAGCTATTAATCCCTCACACCCACCTCCAAACCTGGCCTCACATGAGTGTCCCCGCAGAAAGAGCCCTTGTGAAAGAGCAAAGACCTATGCCATTCTGCAAGGCTGCTTGATGACATAGGATATGCTGTGAGCTCCCTCTGGGAATCCCTCCCTAACCAGTTTGTGCTATGATAGCAGTGATTTTTGCCACAGGGGTGTGTGTGTGTGTGTGTGTGTGTGTGTATCTATGTTTCAAAACATCAAGTAGAGGAAATACAATTGGCGAAAGAGATGGTGTGTTGACTTTCTGTCTTAAGTTGTTTCTCTGTGACATTTTTGTCTTAGCCACATAAAGGTAACTGACACAGGGAGAGGTCAGCACTGGGCAGAGTGCTTACCTAGCATGTATGAGGCTCTGGGTTCAGTCCTCACTACTATGGAAACCAAGAGTTTCCACTGCATGCCTAGAATCCCAGTCCTCAGAAGCTCAAGGCCATCCTTGGCTACATAGCAAGCTCAAAGCCAGCTGAGGTACACAAGATCCTCTCTATTATTTTTTTTTTTAAAAAAGGTCATGGGTGCACACCTTTAATCCCAGCACTCACATGGATTTCTGTAAGTTCAAAGCCATCCTGGTCTACACAGAGCGCCAGGCCAGCCTGTTCTACATAGAGTCCCAGGTCAGTCAAGGCTCCACAGTGAAACCCTGTCTTAAACCAGGAACAGCAAAGGTAACCATCTTTTGCTTCCTCCATCTGGACAAAACTGAAGCCGAGCTGAAATTTCTGAAACCACCATGCACTCTTACCATAGGCCTCCTGAGCAGTGTTATTGAGCTTTATTAAAATAGAATAAAAACTGAATTGGGACAGAGAAACCTAATCTCAGGTTAGG